GTGGTGGGTGTGAGGGCGGGTCGTGCCTGCTATCGTGGTCGGGTTGAGGGGGGTCGAACCTGCTATCGTGTGAGGTGTTGAGGGCGGGTCTGCCTCTACCGTGCGTGGGTTGTTTGAGGGCGGTCTGCCTCTATACGTGGAGGGTGTTGAGGCGGGTCGTGCGCTCTATACGTGGATGGGTGTTGAGGCGGTCGTGCCTGCTATCGTGGGTGGGTGTTGAGGGCGGGTCGTGCCTTGCTATCGTGGTGGGTGTTGAGGGCGGTCGTGCTTGCATATCGTGGTGGGTGTTGAGGGCGGGTCGTGCCTGCTATCGTGGTGGGTGTTGAGGGCGGGTCGTGCCTGCTATCGTGGTGGGTGTTGAGGGCGGGTCGTGCCTGCTATCGTGGTGGGTGAGGGCGGGTCGTGCCTGCTATCGTGGTGGGTGTTGAGGGCCGGTCGTGCCTTCTATCGTGGTGGGTGTTGAGGGCGGGTCGTGCCTGCTATCGTGGTGGGTGAGGGCGGGTCTGTGCTTCTACGTGTGGGTGTTGAGGGCGGGTCGTGCCTGCTATCGTGGTGGTGAGGGAGGGTCGTGCCTGCTATCGTGAGGGTGTTGAGGGCTGGTCGTGCCTGCTATCGTGGTGGGTGTTGAGGGCGGGTCGTGCCTGCTATCGTGGTGGGTGTTGAGGGCGGTCGTGCCTGCTATCGTGGTGGGTGTTGAGGGCGGGTCGTGCCTGCTATCGTGGTGGGTGAGGGCGGGTCGTGCCTGCTATCGTGGTGGGTGTTGAGGGCCTGGGTCGTGCCTTCTATCGTGGATGGGTGTTGAGGCGGGTCGTGCCTGCTATCGTGTGGTGAGGGCGGTCGTGCTTCTATCGTGGTGGGGTTGGGGCGGGTCGTGCCTCATCGGGTGGGTGAGGGAGGGGCGTGCCTGCTATTTGTGTTTGGGGGAGGGCGGGTCGTGCCTGCTATCGTGGTGGGTGAGGGCGGGTCGTGCCTGCTATCGTGGTGGGTGAGGGCGGGTCGTGCCTGCTATCGTGACTCGCTGGTGAGATGTCGACCCTCGTCTGAGGTGTCAAACTTGACCCTCTACACTGGGCGAAACATGGTTTTATAAACCGGACACTGGGGGAAACTGGGTTATAAACCTGGACACTGAGTTTAAACAGGCTTTATAACCTCTACACTGGGTGAAACATGGTTTTAATAAACCTCTACACTGGTTTAAACATGGCTTTAATAAACTTACAACTGGGTAAAATGGTTTATTTAAAAATCTAACCCGTGGAAACAGGCCTTTAATAAACCTGGGCACTGGGTGAACATGGCTTAATAAACCTGGACACTGAGTGAAACATGGCTTAATAAACCTGGACACTGAGTGAAACATGGCTTAATAAACCTGGACACTGAGTGAAACATGGCTTAATAAACCTGGACACTGAGTGAAACATGGCTTAATAAACCTGGACATGATGAAACATGGCTTCATAAACCTGGACACTGAGTGAAACTGGCTTAATAAACCTGGACACTGAGTGAAACATGGCTTAATAAACCTGGACACCGAGTGAAACATGGCTTAATAAACCTGGACACTGTGTGAAACATGGCTTTATAAACCTGGACACTGGGTGAAACATGGCTTAATAAACCTGGACACTGAGTGAAACATGGCTTAATAAACCTGGACACTGAGTGAAACATGGCTTAATAAACCTGGACACTGAGTGAAACATGGCTTAATAAACCTGGACACTGAGTGAAACATGGCTTAATAAACCTGGACACTGGTGAAACATGGCTTAATAAACCTGGACACTGAGTGAAACATGGCTTAATAAACCTGGACACTGGGTGAAACATGGCTTAATAAACCTGGACACTGGGTGAAACATGGCTTAATAAACCTGGACACTGGGTGAAACATGGCTTAATAAACCTGGACACTGGGTGAAACATGCTTAATAAACCTGGACACAGAGTGAAACATGGCTTAATAAACTTGGACACAGAGTGAAACATGGCTTAATAAACCTGGACACTGGGTGAAACATGGCTTAATAAACCTGGACACTGGGTGAAACATGGCTTAATAAACCTGGACACTGGGTGAAACATGGCTTAATAAACCTGGACACTGGGTGAAACATGGCTTAACCTTGACACAGAGTGAAACATGGCTTAATAAACCTGGACACAGAGTGAAACATGGCTTAATAAACCTGGACACTGAGTGAAACATGGCTTAATAAACCTGGACACTGGGTGAAACATGGCTTAATAAACCTGGACACTGAGTGAAACATGGCTTAATAAACCTGGACACTGGGTGAAACATGGCTTTAAAAACCTCTACAATGAGTGAAACATGGCTTAATAAACCTGGACACTGGGTGAAACGTGGCTTAATAAACCTGGACACTGGGTGAAACGTGGCTTAATAAACCTGGACACTGGGTGAAACATAACTTCACAAAACTCTCAGTAAAGGTGAAACATGATAAAATTCTTACCAGAGTGAAACTTGAGTTAATAAAGCACCGCATAAAGTGAAACATGACTTGATATAGATCTAAAATGAGTGAAATATGACTTGGTAAAGCTCTACACAGAGTGAAACATTACTGGAAAAAGCTTTCACGAAGCGGAACGCGACTTTATAAAGCTCCACAGAGTGTAATCTGATTATAAAGCTCCACAGAGTGTAATCTGATTATAAAGCTCCACAGAGTGTAATCTGATTATAAAGCCCCGCAGAGTGTAATCTGATTATTAAAAAGCCCCAAAGGTAACTATTAAAAGCCCCAAAGTGTAATCTTTTATAAAGCCCACAAGTTTTAATAATTTAAAAAAAGCCACAAAGTTTTTAAAATCCACAAGGTTTTTTTAAACCCCAAAGTGTAATCTTTTTTATAAAGCCCACAAGGTAACTTTATAAACCCCCCAAAGGGGAATCTTTTTAAAAGCCCCAAAAATCTGATATAAAGCTCCACAAGTTTCTATATAAAGCTCCACAGAGTGTAATTGATTATAAAGCCCCAAAGGAGTGTAATTGATTATAAACCCCCAAAAAATGTAATCAAAAAAGCTCAAAGTTGTAATCGAAAAGTTTTTAAGGGTTAATATTATAAAACTTATCGAGGAAACTGACCTTCACAACAAAACCCCTTTTAAATTTGTACAACAGGAGGGGTGTTTTTGGTTCAGGAATTTAATAAAACCTTTATGCGGGTTAAGAAAGGGAAGCCAAAACCCAGTACCTATTTCCCGTTGGGTGACAGGGGAATGTTAGGAAGTAACCCGGGCACCTGTTTACTGCTAGGTGAACAGGGGCAGAGGGTGTTAGGCTAATACCCAGGTACCTATTTACCGCTAGGTGGACAGGGGAAGTAGAAATTAGGAGGCTAACACCCAGGTACCTATTTACTGCTAGGTGAAGAGGAGAAGAGGGTGTTAGGCTAATACCCAAGTACCTATTTACCGGTAGGTGAACAGGGGAAGTAGAAATTAGGAGGCTAACACCCAGGTACCTATTTACTGCTAGGTGAAGAGAAGAGGGTGTTAGGCTAATACCCAGGTACCTGTTTACCGGTAGGTGAACAGGGGAAGTAGAAATTAGGAGGCTAACACCCAGATACCTATTTACTGCTAGGTGAACAGGGGAAGTAGAAATTAGGAGATTAACACAGAGGCACCCAGTTACTGTTAGGTGACAAGACAGATACTGGGGGACTTTCCTATGTCTTTTCTCTCCTTCAGGATTGAACCAGGCTATTAACACCAATAGACTGATTGATCAAGCACCACGGCCGCAATGGGCAGCCTGGGGATCGAACCTGTGTCTCTCCTTGAATGACCCCAACGGGTTTAACACTTCTGGGCCAACAAAACCGCCGTAGATCGGAGAGACTTAAGTTTGTGGTAGGTGCATATCACCCCTACGGGTTTAACATTACTATTAATATCATTAGTAGTAGTATTTTATTATTATTATTATTATTATATTATATTATTATTATTATTATTATTACTGAGAAAGGATAGTCTTACTAGGTCAGTTGTCGTGCTCCTTCTTTAGTAAATGTGACCTGACTTGACCTGACCATCTTACGGCATTGGCATAAGCCGGTGTGTGAATTGAACCTGCCTCGCATGGGCCAGTAGGCTTGCTGCAGTATTCCTCCTTTCTTGTGTTCTTAAATCAATGGTTTAGCAATAGAGTTGTGGATGAGTGGAACAAACTCCCGAGTAACTTAACAAATAAGTTAGAGCCGTGCATGAGTGAGTGTGAGTTAGACCTGCCTTGTATGGGCCAGTAGGTCTGCTGAAGTGCTGCTTCTTTCTCATGGTCTTAGACCGGACCGCGGGATCATTATATTAGATCCCCGCGGGAAACGCTAAAACTGTATGAATCATACAGCGCATGAGGAATGGGAGGTAAAGTTGATGCGAGGAAGGGGAAGGCAGCTCTAATTCCTTAGATCAGGAGCCCTTCAGCAGACGGCTGATTAATGGGGTTTAAAGTCTATCGACAACACGAGGGTCACTACAGGCTACGACGTATCTATTTAACACTTGTGAAGAAGGATATTTGCGCATGTATACTCTCAGCATATATACTCTCAGAATATATACTAGCAGTATATATATCCTCAGCATATTATATTATCAGAATATATGCCCTCAGCATATATACTCTCAGAATATATACTAGCAGCATATTATATTATCAGCATATGCTAGCAGCATATATACTAGCAGCACATATACTAGCAGCATATATACTAGCAGCATATATACTAGTAGCATATATACTCTGATATATATACGCAATATACACCTCACGTGAAAATAAAAATCTGTTTCGTAGTTACAGATTTGACAAAAAAATCTTCCTATCGTTTTTAATTCTATTTTCCTTAAAAATCGGCATTGTAAAAAAAAAAGCTTATGAGAAACTAAAAAAAATAACTGTGAATTATGTTTTAACCATTAATATAATTTTGACGTATAATATAACTTACCCGAGGAAAGTAATCCTTCGTAACTGGGCTGTCAAAGTCGATATTAAACACACATACCAGTAAGTCACTGAGATGCCTTTTTTTTCCCTTGCATTAATAGTTATATACAATCCATGGGTGGGTAGCACGGTAATGGGTAGCGTCAGATAGCGAGGTAATGGGTAGCACCATGGGGAAGGCGGTGAATGGTGGGAGGAGAGAGAGAGATGACGTACATCCACCCTCGTAGCTGGGTGACGACTGAGCTCTCTGGAGGGATGGTCTCCTCACTCCCTTCCCCATCAACCCCGGAGACTCTCCCCATCTCTCATTCAACCAATACAACCCTCCCACCTACCCTCCCACCTATATCCTCCTGTATAAGGGATAGGTCATGCTGAGAGATGGTAATTCCCAAGTAACAGTATCGTCTACTGTGAAGCTGCCGTAGCTGAACCCGTAATGGAATTCTTGTTAAATTAGACACATGTGTAGCTCTTGGGTATCTTTATTGAGGAAACGTTTCGCCACACAGTGGCTTCATCAGTCCATACATACCTGGAGTTTACCTGGAGAGAGTTTCGGGGGTCAACGCCCCCTCGGCCCGGTCTGTGACCAGGAGAAACTTGAAGAACAGGAGGAGAATGAGGTAATCAGTCCCTCAATCTTGATGATGATTGATGGACTGACCACAACGACACAAGGTTGAGGGACTGATTACCTCATTCTCCTCCTGTTCTTCAAGTTTCTCCTATGTATAGACTGATGAAGCCACTGTGTGGCGAAACGTTTCCTCAATAAAGATACCCAAGAGTTGCACATGTGTCTAATTTAACAACATGTCGGTTCTTTGAACCATTCATCTACAATAGAATTCTTAATAAAATCGCAGCGATGTTTAAAGTTGGAAAAATTCAGATTCAGGAAGGATATAGGAAAGCTCTGGTTTGGTAATAGAGTTGTGGATGAGTGGAACAAACTCCCAAGTACAGTTATTGAGGCTAAAACGTTGTGTTGTTTTAAGAATAGGTTAGATAAATACATGAGTGGGTGTGAGTTGGACCTGACTAGCTTGTGCTACTAGGTCTGATGCCGTGTTCCTTCCTTAAGTGGATGTGACCTGCACACAAATAACCCGCACATAGAAGAGAGGAGCTTACGACGACGTTTCGGTCCGGCTTGGACCATTTACAAAGTCACACTGAAGTGACCTGACTAGGTGGGTCATTGATCTAAGCCGGGGGTTGACAAGGACCTGCTTCGCATGGGTCAGTAAGCCTGCTGCAGTGTTCCTTCTTTCTTATGTTCTTATACTCATCGCCCGATTGAAGTCTCCCAGCTTTGGCTGACACATTTCAATACTGTATATGAAAGGACCCCAATGGAAATAAAGGAGCCCAGTGGAAATAAAGGACCCCAGTGGAAATAAAGGACCCCAATGGAAATAAAGGACCCAATGGAAATAAAGGACTCAATGGAAATAAAGGACCCCAGTGGAAATAAAGGACCCAATGGAAATAAAGGACCCCAGTGGAAATAAAGGACCCCAATGGAAATAAAGGACCCAATGGAAATAAAGGACTCAATGGAAATATAGGACCCAATGGAAATATAGGACCCAATGGAAATAAAGGACTCAATGGAAATATAGGACCCAGTGGAAATAAAGGACCCAATGGAAATAAAGGACTCAATGGAAATAAAGGACTCAATGGAAATATAGGACCCAATGGAAATAAAGGACTCAATGGAAATATAGGACCCAATGGAAATAAAGGACTCAGTGGAAATAAAGGACCCAATGGAAATAAAGGACTCAATGGAAATATAGGACCCAATGGAAATAAAGGACTCAATGGAAATATAGGACCCAATGGAAATAAAGGACTCAGTGGAAATATAGGACCCAATAGAAATAAAGGACTCAATGGAAATATAGGACCCAATGGAAATAAAGGACTCAATGGAAATATAGGACCCAATGGAAATAAAGGACTCAATGGAAATATAGGACCCAATGGAAATAAAGGACTCAATGGAAATATAGGACTCAATGGAAATAAAGGACTCAATGGAAATATAGGACCCAATGGAAATAAAGGACTCAGTGGAAATAAAGGACCCAATGGAAATAAAGGACTCAATGGAAATATAGGACCCAATGGAAATAAAGGACTCAATGGAAATATAGGACCCAATGGAAATAAAGGACTCAGTGGAAATATAGGACCCAATGGAAATAAAGGACTCAATGGAAATATAGGACCAATGGAAATAAAGGACTCAATGGAAATATAGGACCCAATGGAAATAAAGGACTCAATGGAAATATAGGACCCCAATGAAATAAAGGACCCAATGGAAATATAGGACTCATGGAAATTAAGGTACTCAATGGAAATATAGGACTCAATAGAAAATAAAGGATCAATGGAAATAATAGGACTCAATGGAAATAAAGGACTCAGTGGAAATATAGGACCCAATAGAAATAAAGGACTCAATGGAAATATAGGACTCAATGGAAATAAAGGTCCCAACGGAAAAAGAGAACCCAATGGAAATAAAGGACCCCAATTAAAATAAAGGACCCAATGGAAATAAGTCACTGACTTTTTTTGTGTTATCCCAGGTTGTCTACACATATGCTGCTATGTATGATAATCTATGTATCTGTATTTATGTATACCTGAATGAACTTACTTAAATCCATCCTGTGTGGTGGCATATGACGAGGTAAGATAGCTTTTATGCCCCACTACGTTAACAATGTGTAACTACCACATACCCACCACCACTACAACTACTACCACTGGAAATATGCCGCTTTATCCATTTTTTTTTTTGGGGGGGGGGGAGGGGGAGGGTTATTCTCGGTAATTTACACGCTTGTTACTGTGTGTAAGTTTGTGTAAGTGTGCGTGTGTACCTATACCTAAATAAATTTACTTACCACTACTACTACTACCCCTACCATCGCTACTACCACTACTACCCCTACCATCGCTACTACCACTACTACCCCCCCATCGCTACTACCACTACGACCCACACCATCGCAACTACCACTACTACCCCACCATCGCTACTACCACTACACCATCATCACTACTACTACTACCCACACCACTACTACAAACCCCCACCATCGCTATACACTAAACCACCACCACCACTCTACTACTACCCCCACCATCGCTACTACCATTACACCACCACCACTACTACTACCCCCACCATCGGTACCACCACTTCACCACCACCACTACTACTACCCCCTCCATCGCTACTACCACTACACACCACATTACTACTACTACCCCCCCCATCGCTACTACCATCACGCACCAATATACTACTACCCCTCCATCGCTACTACCACTACACCACCACCACTACTACTACTACCCACCATCGTACTACCATACACCACTCCACATACTACTACCACCCCCACCATCGATTATACCACTACACCACACATACTACCTCAATCGCTTACCACCACTACACACCACCACTAACTACTACTCCCTCCATCGCTACTACCACTACCCACCACACACTACTACTACCCCACATCGTTATAAACTAACACACCACTACTACTACCCTACCATCGCTACTACCACTACACCACCACCACACTACTACTACCCCCACCATCGCTACTACCACACCACACCACCACTACTATAACCCTCACCATCGCTACTACCATACACCACCACCACTACTATACCCCCACTCGCTACTTAACAACTACACCACCACCACTATACCCCCACCATCTCCCACCACTACACACCACTGCTACTACTACCCCACCATCGCTACCACCACTAGGATCACACTGCCTATTACCCCCTACCATCGCGTACTACCCTTACACCACCACTGTACTATACCCACACATCTACTACACTACACCCACCACTACTGCTACCCCTACCATCGCTACTACACTACACCACTGCTATCTACCCCACCATCGCTACACCACTAACCACCACTGCTACTATTACCCCCACCATCGCTACCCATACAACCACTGCTACTATTCCCCCACCATCGCTACTACCACTACACACTGTACTACACCCCACCATCGCTACCACCACTACACCACCACTGCTACTACTACCCTACATCGCTACTACCACTACACCACCACTACTACTACCCCCACCATCGCTACTACCACAAACACCACCACCTACTACTACCCACCATCGCTCCACCACTACACCACCACTGCTACTACTACCCCCACCATCGCTACTCCCATACACATCACTGCTACTACTACCCTCACCAACGCTACTACCACTACACCACCCACACTACTACCCCCACCATCGTACTACCACTACACCACCACTACTACTACCCCCACCATCGCTACTACCACTACACCACCACCACTACTACTACCCCCACCATCGCTACTACCACTACACCACCACTGCTACTACTACCCTCACCATCGCTACTACCACTTCACCACCACCACTACTACTACCCCCCATCGCTACTACCACTACCACCACCACCAACTACAAACCCCCACCATCGCTACCACCACTACAACCCCACTGCTACTACTACCCCACCATCGCTACTACCACTACACCACCACCACTACTACTACCCCCACCATCGCTACTACCACTACAACCCCACTGCTACTACTACCCCACCATCGCTACCACCACTACACCCCCTCTACCACCACTCACAACTCACTAGAGTAACGCAGTAACATGATGGTGGTAATTATAGCGGTGGTAGTATTTCCACCACCCCCACCTATCACAACCCTCTATAATTACTATCATCTAAATATCATAGACAAACCCCACGTACACGACTATTAATCAACTATTAGTGAATGTAAACTCCAGCCTAAAAAAAACCTGAATTATCAACACAATTATTCTGTTTTGAGAGGCTTTTAGTATTTGTGTGAAAAATAGCATACTAATTATGTTAATAATTTTAAATAATTGCTCAAGAATTTATCGTGCTCGAATTATAGTGCTGATTATTATTAGTGGGAATAAACATAAATTTTTACTGATTATTATTATTTATTTGTACTATTATTATATTATTATTATATTATTATATTATTATTATTATTATATTATTAAAAATGGAAATAATAATTAATAATTACGTTAAAAATATTAATATTAAAATAGAAGGAAAATACCAGGAGAGGAGATGGAGGGTGGGAAGGATAATTA